TCAATAGTGTGGTTCGTAGGTTGGTGATGTTCAGCAATGTGATTGTTGACATCGCCTTTCCTTGTTACTCGTTTGTGCTCGGTCAGTCTAGTTGTGAGGTTTCTGCCAGTCTCACCGATGTAGGAGGCGTGGCAGTCGGAGCAATTGATCTTATGCACTACTCCCTATCTGTTCCTCGGTTCGTCTTTGTCTTTGACGTTAGTCAGTAACTGACGTAGTGTGGTAATAGGTTTATGAGTGATGCGGATATTGAATGTTTGTAGGATGCGCGAGATGTTCTCAGATATGCCCTTTATGTACAGTATAGTTGCTGTAGTCGTAGGAGTTTGCGTTGTCGTTTGCTTCGGTAGTAGTAGTAGGTCGGTGAGTGTTACGTTGGAGAAAGTCTTCGTAGTAGTTGTTTTTAGAAAAAACACGGACAAGGTACTTGTTCTCGTCGGATAAGCTGTCTGTCGTGTTACATACTAGTTCCACTCGTCGCGTAAGAGTCCTGATAGTTGTGGCTTTGTGTGATGTCGGGTTGTAGGATGACTCGTCCAGTAATCTGTCAGTATGTGTCAGTTTCCTGTAAACTGTTGTCCGTAGTGAGTTGTCGTCACGACTTACCATGCAGTCTAGAAAAGGTAGCTTACCATTTTCTTCGTCCTCTCTAGTGAAAGTATCGTCAATGTAGCGTAACCAGAGCGGTATCGTTTGTCGGCAAGTTGAAAGGGCGCTTTCCTCGATGTTCTGCATCACAATTTCTGCTACAACAACAGAAACTGGAGACCCCATAGATGTACCATGTAACTTTTTGTAGTGTTTACCGTTGTACTGAAAGTAAGTTGACATAAGGCAAAGGTTTAGTAAGTCCATAATGTCCTCTGTCGGTAGTGGTAAGGGGTCGGTAGATTGTAAGATAGCAGTCTCAGTACATTGTAGTGCCAGTTGAAGTGGAATGCTTGTAAAAAGCGATTTCACATCAAATGACATTAGTTTATAGTCGTCAGGTATCTGTACAGTGAAGTCCTCGGCGGATTTTGGTTTACGTCTGGCGGATTGTGGTTTACGTCTGGATTTGTCGGTGAGCGGTTGTAGTATTTTCGTAAGGTACTTGGACAGTTGGTATGTCGGAGAACCACAGAAAGAAACAATAGGTCGCATTGGGAAACCAGGTTTGTGTAGTTTCGGCAGACCATAAAGTTTCGGTGGCTGTGCTACTGAGCACCTTAGTCGAACAACATGCCCTTACATGACTGAAAAACGACGAGGACATAGTTTTTCAACCAACCTAAGAAGAACTCAAACGTATCCCGACTCCAGTGCTTCAACGCAAGCTCAACAGCACATTACTGACGCTCAAAAAGACAAACGCCATTGACACCCAACGCTACTACCGACTAGGGTGCTCAGTACCACAGCCACTGAAACTTTACGGTCTGCCGAATCTACACAAACCTGGTTTCCCAATGCGACCTATTATTTCTTTCTGTGGTTCTCCGAACATCACCGACTTATGAACCACACTTTTGACTGGGACTCTGCGCAATGCCTAACCTACAGCACCAATGACTTTCAACGACTGACCCTGCATAGCTGGTTTACTAAATTGGAACAGACTCCCCTTAACAAGTGTCAACTACTACCGGCACCATACGAACGACTCAGTCACGACATTAACATTATAAACGAAGTGAAAAGAAAGACCTAACTTCACAACGGATGGAGACCGACTAATCCCAACCGACCTACGCCACTTGAGTCTTACAGCCAATAACATCACGGCAAAACTGACCGATCAGTTTATACAAACCGGACTAAGAACACTTCAGTGACAACAACTATTCACTCGACTCCGATGATGACTTCCGCTCACTCTCCCGGACGATCAAACTACACTATTACATGTTACCCCCAGGTTCAAACCATTAACTGTACAGTTTTCAATAATTACGTGTCGAAAAGACATAATTAACATCTACCGGAATCAAAATTGGTCTGAAAAGTCAAAACGTGTCAGGAATTCGCCTCTCTTAAAATCTCAGACGTCTTTAAACGACTTCTAGTTTCTATTTATAGCAAGACTTCGTGTTCATTTTTTCGTTTTATCTCTTGTTCGTTCAATATGTTAACTGCTTGTCTAAACATGACGTTAGTGTCTTTAATGATTATGGAAAAGCTAACGATCTTTACCGAAGCTGCCAAAGAAAATTCAAATGAAACACGTAAGATAAATTTTTAATATTTTTAAAAGAAAAACTGTAAATGGTAATACGACTAAAGCTGAAGGATACTGTTTAAGTTTAAACGGTAGTGCTTTGCTAATGAAAGTAAAGCTTAAAATGATTTAAGATCAATAAACAGCGGCCATCACAAAGGTGCCACATAGACATGACACTTAATACATCATCAGTGTAAACTGGTGGCAGAAGCAAATAGAAAGGGAAAAACCAGAAACGTCGAATGTCGTTAGATATCGCTATCCAGCATGTGGGTGTCTTTTTTTTTAATCAGCGTAAAGCATAAAGGGATTTATGATCGACATTGGGCAAACAAATAATGATCATGAGTGTTCCAGCAGGAGAGACAGAGACTTAACACTTGTAATTATTTAGAACTTTAACAGACGCTAAATGGAAACCATTGTCAATCAAAGCTAAAAATCTAATATTTCCTTTGTCAAAGTCTTTCAAACTGTTAAATAACTTATTACATTCAAACTTTGAATAGTTAAAAGATGTATTGATTGCATGCTTATCTACAAAGATGGTGTGGCATGACGTTTCGCTGGTTTAAGTGGGCTTTCACAACTCCCCCGTTTACATGTACTTTTACATAGTAGGGTATTTTTTTTATTGTTGTATGTTCTTTTTTTTTTGTAAGTATGCACTAAATATACTAATATGATAAGGGTTATGTGAGCAATTTATGATGGTAATAGGACCGAGTGGAGTCCGAACTAGACATTGGTTGTACGTTTTCATAAAAAATAAATAAATAAAAAACATTAGTCAACTCGTCGAAATGCGAGACAAAAGCGCGCGCTCATAACGCGTTCTGTCCACTTACATAGTTATGACGTGTTAACTGCCTCTTTAATTGTCCTATTGCACTTCCCAATTACAAGGATGACGCGTACACTATCCTATTAGTGCTGGAATCGGGCTGGTGATAACCAATCACGTTCGAGAATTTTGTTGTAGTTTTGACTGGTGCGGGATTTACTTGTCATATAAAACCAGAACGCTCTCATGAAGTCATCCTCAACGTCAAATTTCCTTTCTTAATTTTGTATTCAAAATAGGAGCCGTTAAGTGCCGCTCGCATACTAACATTATCTTGTTGTTTAATGCTTTGCTAAAAGTAAAGATTAAAAACTGCGGCCCCTAAAAGGGTGGTGCACAGACACAACTGATAACATAATCAGCTTGGATTAATCGCAGATCCCCGTAAAAAAGGGGTAAATGACACAAAAGTCGACGGACCCATGAAACGATACTAGGCAAGGTAGCAGTCAAAAGGTATTACTACAAAGAAGGAATTTTTAGTTGACATCTGAATGTAAAAAAAAAAAGGAAATAGAAGCTTCTAGTTGGCTTCCTCAGTATTTTCTCTTTTGCATATTGGTTATTCAAAAAGTCGGAAGCCATGATTATTGCGTCCCACAAAGCACTCAAAACCAACCGAGACATTAACATTTTTTACGGAGACTCAATATTAAAACAGCAGAGACATTTTAAGTATCTTGGCGTGGTGGTAGACGAATCATTATTATGGAACAATCACGTGTCATGTGTTGCCTCGAGAGTTTATCCTAAACTGAAACTTTTAGGTAAAATTTCATTTTTTCTTAGCCCTGAAATTTTATTGAAGATTTACAAAACGACAAATTTACCTATTTGAGACTATGGCTGCATCCTATGGGGTTTTTGCAGCAAGAAGAACTCCGATTTTCTGGAAAGGTTGCAAAACAAAGCAATGCAAATAATTTTAAGAACAAATCACTTAGCGTGCACACAGTCAATGAGAGAGAGACTTGGCCTGTTAACATTATCTAACAGGCGCCGTTATTTACGTCTCCAACTAGTATATAAAATCGTAAATGATTATCACTGTCCCAGGCAACTTCAAGGGTATTTTGCATTGAGATCAGAACTTCGCCGTAAAACCCCCAGAGATAGTTGGGAACTTCATCTCCCAAGATAAAAAACAGCTATGGGCCAGTCAATATTCGAGTATGCCGCTGCAAAGGAATGGAATGACTTCCCCAAAGAACTGTGTGTTTGTGAAACGCTAAGAATTTTTAAAATTAAAACTTTTAAACTTTTTTTTTGTAGAATCAGATGAGGCACAACACAAATGACGTGTACAAATTTTTTATCGCTGTAAATATTTTTTGGTAATTTTTAATTTAATCTTGACTTGTATCGATAGTGAATTGTATTTTTAACAGTATTTTTATTGCTGATCACCGGTTTATACCAGCGTTTTCTATGATGAAAAAAAGTTTAAATAAAACATTTATTGAATAAAGCATTTATTCACGGGGATCTGACTCTTTCCATTCGCTTTACACTTGCATTATGGTGGTAAGAACTGACTGCGGAAAGTATGGGATTCATGATGTATTCTGAACTTTATCACCTAAAATCGAAAACAGAGATGTAAATCAGTTGCTGTTTTCAGAGATTTAGTTAATGATATGTTTATTTTTGTGCTAAGTCATAATTTCTCAAAAGTCATGTCCCCATTTTACAGTGTCTAATTATGATGACCAGTTGACTCGCGCAATACCCGGTGGCTAGGGAGAAGGACAATTCTTTGGAATGGGTTGCAAGTAGCTACCAACATTATTATAAAGTGAAGGTAGTCATGAAAAACTGTCGTTTTGAACAAATCGACAAAATGTTTGTATCCAGTTTTAAGTCTAAGGGAGTATTTATGGCTGTACGAATTGAGAGGATGACACCACACAGTTGATCACCAATGTTTTTTATGTTTTTTTTTTATTTTTCAACTGACCTGATTCGTATTATAGTGAAGTCAGAAATTTTCGGGGAGGTAGTGAAAATACTTCCATCCCAGTTACACAGGGTTAACATGAGCCTTAGCATATTCTTCCAGCAGGACCTTCTTGCCATCTTTGTCGTCAAGGTCGGTCCTCACTATGCGATGTTCTACAACGTGGTTCGGAGGCAGTGTGACTGGCGCCTTTGTTCTGTGCAAAAGGAAAAAAATACTTGTTAAAATACAAAATATGCGTTTTACGTTCCCCATCAGCGTTGGTTTTTTTACTGGTTTTTTTTTTTTTTACTTTTTTATGAACTTTACTTTTTTTGGTACAGTGTAGTTTAGCAATTACTTGTGATTATTTTTCCATCGTCCTGAACATCTTTTATTGACAAATGCAGGGAAGGAAACATTTTTAGCTTTAAAGGATATCATTATAGATAACCTTTAGTATCTTGTGAAGAGTCTTATTCTCTCCCAAACATTTTAGTGACACAAGAAATTAGTATTAAGCCATTCTCTCCAGGCCCTTTTCATCCCAGCGTTCTCTTCGGTTGCTTCTATCCCGTAAAACTCAGAAGATGAGAACCGATAGCTTAAAAGAAATAATATTGAACCGTTAGAGCTGTTACAGTACTTACTTGTAAGAAGTGTGAAACTGGCAACTGTGATAACCGCCTCCTTTGAGTAGTAGGAACATAGTCACATCACCTCTCAATATGTTGTTAGAGACGGTCATTTTCTCAAAGGACGGGTCCCAGCCAATTGTCCTCTTTCCCATTATGGGTCCGTCGGCGGGAAAGTTTACGCCATGAAACATGGATTTGTGTGTAAATGAATTACCCTCAAGACTGTAAAAATTAAGAGAAATTTGAGAAATCAATAACAAAAATGGAAAATTACCCTTGTATCTGTGCCACATACCGAGAGTGCAATGTGATCTGGAGAATAATGCGTAGCGCATTTTGTTTTCTATATTTTGTCATTTCCGCTACGATGTTTTTCAAATTAAACCCATTTTGCCTCTTTTAATCTTTATATTAATTTAATATATATATATATATATATATATATATATAAATTTAATCTTTATAATACTACTTAAAAGAAATCTTTAGATTTCTTTTAAGGAGTATTATCTCAGTCCCATACTAAACATCACTTTCATACCCAATGTGTCCACTGGCTGTGGCAACTCCTCCATCTTCAAATGTAAATGACCTTTCATACGACATCCCAGCAGGAAAGGCTTGCTTGAAATAGTCGTGCATGCCCTCAGGATACTTAGTGAAGCATCTATTTCCATATTTGAACGCTGACGACAGAATGTCAAAGGAGAATGGAAGGGGTCCTCCCTTGGTAACCCGAAAAGTGGACTTCTGTATTCCTCTAGAATAAAATGATAAGAGTGTTGAAAATTATTTTCAGAAACAGCTCATGTATGCCCTGAAACACAGGAAAATTAGGAAGACCAAATATTTTATGCTCATGATAATTCAAACTTAAGTCAAATACTGTATAAACTTTCATGTTAAGTTGTAAGAAATTAAAGTATCACAAATGAATTTAGCTGTGACTGAGCTTTTACAGGATAATTTGCAGTAGCCTTCAAACTTCGCCTGATTCTGGAAGGCGATGAAGAAGTCGATGTCATAGGCAGTTGGCAATTTGCAAACGCGAATAAAAACAAGCTCATAGTTCATGACTGAAAATCTTCTTATAAATCTTTGATCTTGATCACTTTGCGTTTTTAAAAAAGTCTTTATTCACTTTGGTAATTTCCCAAAATCATTGACACCGTGACATCAGGCCTTATTTGACAGCTGCAATGTGATCTTATTTAACTCTGTGTTTAACAATAAATTGCAATGCATAGTAACGAAATAATTCATCGTGGTCTGTCTTTTAAGAGGCACTTACTCGTAAGGCTTTCCTTTTCCTTCACCCTCGATCTCGAAGTAATGTCCATTGACACTACCCTTCATTTCAAATTTCATATTCATATCTTTTAGAATGACCTGAATAAGTAAAAAGGAAAGAAACGATTATTTTCTACCAACAGTTATATTTTTCAAAGACCTAAGCTGGTTTTAATTTGCCAGCGCATTTAATTGCTCAGTATCTGAAACGATAAAATATAAATTATTTTTTTTACTATTAAGATACATTCCTCTTTTTAACCTGGCGAAATAAAGCGCTCAAGCAAATCCTACTTTCAAATTGAGGTTAAACATTTATCTTATACATTCCTAGTTGGTTAGTAGCAGCGCCTAGCTAGTATTTGAGAGGCACAGGTTTGAATCCTGTCGAAGTCTACTTTTATCAAGCTTCTTTTCAGCAATTGCTAAAATTACAGCTCATCTGCGAGGATTATTGCTTTACATGATTTTAGTGCAAAGTCAAAACGTTTGAAGAGCATGTTTTGGGTGTGGCATAGCAATTTGCGTTCGGACGATTTTACCTCATTCTTTGTTACCGGGGTAGATTCGACTCTCTTTGTTAAGTTTCAAGAACTCACTAACCTGCTTTGAAAGAGACATGTTGAGGATAAGCCGCTTGATTTTCAAAACTGGATTACGAGCTGAGATGGCCTGTTGTAGTTCACTCCGTCGCTGACCAAGCTGAACTGACCGGAGCGTTAGGGAGGATTGATGTTAATAGTTAAGAAAGAACAAAGAAACGCTCATTGATGATAATGATAACACGTGAACCATCATGTGATATTTAACAATTGGTTCATGCTAAGTGCGGGTGTATTTGTAACTTTAACTTTAAGTAAAATTTAGAAGATGTTTCAAATCATGTAACATAATAGTAATCATTCGATTCCTTTTTGTTCGATTTGAGACTGTTTCTAGCAACTTGCTGGTTAGTAATCTGTTTTGTCACACGAAGGTGCACTAATGAGTAATTGTAATCAAATTTAATTTCCTCTTTTAATTAAAATATCAGTTTGACAAAGCACTATTTAATTAGTCAATGCTTTGCTAGGGTCAAGGTCAAAAACAAAAACAAAAAAAGAGACGGAGAGACCCTCGAGGGCGGTACACGGACACAAACGATTACATAATCAGATGGTTTGGTTTTATCAACTGAGTTGACAACGTGACTTAGCTGACCTAGGAATGTAATCTGATTATCTCTTATGGAAAGTTGGCAATAACTGGTCATGAATGTGCTTTACCCTCAATAATGATAATTTAAAAAATCCTCTGGAACACCCTGCTTTAATTTTCGGCTTTATTAGGCTCAACAAAATTATATCCAGTTCCAAAGAAAGTATTGTAGTCATTCCAGTTCTAAAGCATTGACGACTAGTATTTAATTAGTGAATGCTTTGCCGGAGTCAAGACTCTGAGAATACTTTCGAACTGTCAAACGCGTATTGCCCTTAGGCGCCACGATCAGCTAAGGTCAACCATGTTTTTTAAAATTATGATACCAATCGTTTAATTTCAATGAAGCCGGACGTTTATCTTGTCTTAATAATTAATCCTATGTTCAACCGAAAAAAAGGGCAAAAACAAATGCCGCTCCCAGATCTATACTAAACTTCAAAATTAAAAATGTTCGTCTTTTCCTTTTCTGTATATGTAAATTATGTTGTTTTCTGTGATTTTGTTAAGTCTAGTTATAAATTTGGCATTGGATGGACAGCAACTTGATATTGATACAATACTACCTTGCCCTTCGTTACTTTCTTGCAGTGGAAGTATACATTCAACAAGTGGATGTACTTGCAGCTACTGCGAATTCGTGTTTTTAATAACGGGGTGCAAGACAATGTTTATGCAACCGTAGCATATTTTTTCGTTGAACCAGTTGCACAGCTGTAAATTTCGCATATTCAAAAGCGTCATAACTTTATAGACATAGAGCCTGGGAATGTAATCTGAATATCTCTTATGGAAAGTTGGCGGTAACTGATAATGAATGAGCTTTTACCCTCAATAATAATAATAAAAAAAATCCTCTGGAACACCCTGCTTTAATTTTCGCCTTTATTAGGTTCAACAAAATTATATCCAGTTTCAAAGAAAGTATTGTAGTCGTTCCATGCTTGTCAGCCGTTGTGAAGTATAAAAGCGTATGCTTGGCGTTTTAATTCCTTCGGTCCGTTCAATCTAATGATTACATAATCAGCTGATTTAGTTTTTGTTAAACTGAGTTGAGAACGTGACTTGGCTGACGAAGGACTAACGCACGAAATGTCTTCTTTAGAATGGCTCTTGCGTGGACGTTCACATTATCAACTCAGTTGATTAAAGGAAGAATTAAATAGTTTTATTAAAGAAAGAGCCCTGATAAAGCAAGAGCCGGTCCACTAACGGCAATGAATATTACTGCTACGTCCACGAAATTGGCTGCTCTTTAGCAGTGGAAACGATTTAGGCAATTCTGGTACTTGTGGTGCTGAAATGAAAACAATTGTCCGCAAAGTCAATGGTAGAAACTAGTTACAACGTAATGCGTTTGGCATAATCAGTTTTGCCTTGTGCAGGATATGCTGAAACACTCTCCATGTTTTTCAAAAGCTAATTTAATTTTATCGTTTGAAGATACATTTTGACGTTCAATTGAAGCGACGCTGTCGAGACTGATAAACTTTGTGCATTCCATTCTATTTTCGTAGTATTCAAGGGTGTGCAATCTTAATCGATATGACTACCGTCAAATGCCGCCCATATGTTTGCATTATTCGATTGAAAAGAAAAACGACGAACGTCGATTAACGACCCGTAAAGCGATAGGAAAATAATTTCACATTGCTACTCGGCATGCGAGAGTGTATTTTTCAATCAACATTTAGCAAAAAAAGGGAATTAAAGTGGACATTAAAGCTTTACTTATGTAATCGTCAATAATCAGTTAAATCTTTCTTGATTATTATAGTGAGGGCTAAATAGAGAGAACCCATGACGGCTGCTTGACAGGGTTACGAAACGATTACTTCTGTACTTTGAACTATTGGATAACATTTGGCCCCAGAGCAATGTTCATTGTCGCGTTTGGAAAGTTTGAAAACTGATTTAAAAGTCGCATGCAGACGGTAATTCGAGACTCACAAGTCGAAACTGAATTGTATACAAGGGAAACATACTTATGATTGTAAATAGGAGAGGGAGATGGTAAGTTTTGAGTTCAGTAAGGAACTTGAGAAATATTCTGCTGAATAAATGTTGGGGGTCTGCACCGAGACCCTGGGAATACTTTTGAACTGTCTGTTACGGTATAATCAAAGCGACAGAAAAACACTACAATCCCACAAACTCAACTACTTTATTAAACAGCGAGTAATGTTCTTAAAAAGAGGCGACTTCTAAAAGCAGTACAATACTTATCGTTGATAAACTTAATTAAGCCCGCCACAGTCTATATGCCAGCTCACCGTTGACACAATCTCACTGCTGTCTCCAGAGTTCCTTGAAATGAGCAATCTTCCGCCGTAACTTTCTCCCGGTATAGCTCTCAAAACAGTCGTCGCTCCGACAACAACAACTACTCCTACTACTACATAGATGAGTCTTTATATATATTCGCAAAGTGTTCTGGAACATTCCAGAAGCTCACCTAAGAAATATTTTAGTAGTATTAGATAATAAATGCGTGACTTGATGAAGAGTTATATGGTATGCAAGTCAGCATGACTAAGCAGTCTGGAGATTTCTAGGTTATATTTACATTAATCATAACATGTCAAACAACAAATTGCCCTTGAGCGCCACTTTCAGCTAAGGTCAACTATTTTTTTTTTTAAGTTATGTAACCAATCGTTTAATTTAAGTGAAGCAGATGTTTACATGGTCTTAATAATCAATCCTTTGTTCAACCGATAAAAAGGGCAAAAACAATTGCCACCTCCAGACCTGTACTAAATTACAAAATTAAAAAGGTTCGTCTGTTGCTTTGTTGTATATGAACGTATATGTACATCACGTTGTTTTTCTGTGATTTTGTTAAGTCTGGTTATAAATTTCATTTCGGATTGGAAGCAGCGTTTACTATTTTACCTTTTTACTCGACGATGAACATGTAACAAATATTGTAGCGTGAAATGACCGATCAATATTTTAAAAGAAAAATTGTATTGGTGACACGACTAAAGCTGAAGGATACTGTTTAAGTTTAAACGGTAGTTCTTTGATAATGAAAGTAAAGCTTAAAATGATTTAAGATCAATAAACAGCGGCTATCACAATGGTGCCACATAGACATGACACTTAATACATCATCAGTGTAAACTGGTGGCAGAAACAAATAGAAAAGAAAGAAACTGAAACGTCGAATAGGACATAAAACGAGATAAGAGAATGTGGTTAGATGTCGCTATCCAGCATGTGGGTGTCTTTTTTTAAAGGATAAAGGAATTTATGATCGACATTAGACAAATAAATAATGATCATGAGTGTTCCAGAAGGAGAGACAGAGACTTAATACTTGTAATTACTTAGAACTTTAAAAGACGCTAAATGGAAACCATTGTCAATCAATGCTAAAAATCGAATATTTCCTTTGTCAAAGTCTTTCAAACTGTTAAATAATAAAAAAGGAAAAAGAAGCTTCTAGTTGGCTTCCACAGTATTTTCTCTTTTGCATTTTGGTAATTCAAAAAGGCCGTGATTATTGCGTCCTATAAAGAACTCAAAACCAACCAAGACATTAATATTTTTTACGGAGACTCAATATTAAAACAGCAGAGACATTTTAAGTATCTTGGCGTGGTGGTAGACGAATCATTATCATGGAACAATCACGTGTCATATGTTGCCTCGAGAGTTTATCCTAAACTGAAACTTTTGAGTAGAATTTCATTTTTTCTTAGCCCTGAAATTTTATTGAAGATTTACAAAACGACAAATTTACCTATTCGAGACAATGGCTGCATCGTATGGGGTTTTTGCAGCAAGAAGAACTCCGATTTTCTGGAAAGGTTGCAAAACAAAGCAATGCAAATAATTTTAAGAACAAATCACTTAGCGTGCACACAGTCAATGAGAGAGAGACTTGGCCTGTTAACATTATCTAACAGGCGCCGTTATTTACGTCTCCAACTAGTATATAAAATCGTAAATGATTATCACTGTCCCAGGCAACTTCAAGGGTATTTTGCATTGAGATCACAACTTCGCCGTAAAATAAAGCCCTCAGAGATAGTAGGGAGCTTCATCTCCCAAGATAAAAAACAGCTATGGGCCAGTCAACATTCGAGTATGCCGCTGCAAAGGAATGGAATGACCTCCCCAAAGAACTGTGTGTTTGTGAAACGTTGAGAATTGTTAAAATTAAAACTTTTAAACTTTTAGTAGAATCAGATGAGGCACAACACAAATGAAGAGTATAAATTTTTTATCACTGTAAATATTTTTTGGTAATTTTTAATTTAATCTTAACTTGTATCCATGGTGAATTGTATTTTTAACAGTATTTTTATTACTGATCACCGGTTTATACCAGCGTTTTCTATGTTGAATTTGCTGATCGGTTTTTTCAGTTTAAATAAAGCATTTATTAAATAAAGCATTTATTCACGGGGATCTGACTCTTTCCATTCGCTTTAAACTTGCACTATGGTGGTAAGAACTGACTGCGGAAAGTATGGGATTCAT